GTAAATATAAAAGAAACACTATCTGTTTATAAATTCAAGTCTCTTCTCAAAGATCACTTACTCACCCAAAACCAAATAAATACTGAATAAATGAACCTTATAAATTGTATATCTTAAATGTTTCTCATAATTATATCACATAAATGTCAAACCTAAGACCCAATCTAACTTTGTTATTTTTTAAATACACTACCTAACAGAATACTCCATTCTACTGAATGTACAGCAATGCATGCAACCATATGACCTGTCTTTGTAATACTCATTTGTGCTTTATTGTTATCTGTTTACAATACTGTTTTATCACTGATTACATCATTGATTAGTTAATCTTAAGCTAATTTTAAGCCTCCCCATAATGCTATGCATACAAGTGGCTTTGGCATGCTGCTCTTACCTGTATTTTTTTGTACCTCTGTATGTTCAAATTATTAAATAAATAAATAAATAAATAGCACAGGGCTAACTGTGATATACACTCGAACTGCACCATAAACATAAAACAAAAGTTATTTTCTCTCTATTGATTATCACACATAGCAGCATATGTGTAGAGAACCTAGGATAACCCAAAAAAAGTCAACGTGGCTTATTTTTAGTACCTGGCTTGGGTTAGCCATGTATGATTTTTGGTAAATATTCGATTCTCAGCCAGGGTAGAAACATTAGGTGTTTCTTTACATAAATAACAAAAAGGCACAATACCGTGACTGGAACGATACACAAATAACCCGCACATAAAAGACAGAAGCTCACGACGACGTTTCGGTCCTACTTGGACCATTGACAAAGTCACACTGTGTGACTTTGTCAATGGTCCAAGTAGGACCGAAACGTCGTCGTGAGCTTCTGTCTTTTATGTGCGGGTTATTTGTGTGTGTGTGTTTCTTTACACCTGTTGTATATGTTTACCCATCAGTAAATGGGTACCTGGGTGTTAGTGGACTGGTGTGGGTGTTATCCTGGGACACTGACCTAATTTTTTTGAAATACTCTGCATAACAAGCAGCTTTCTATATAGTTGTATGTCACTGATGTCAGCTAGGCCTGTATACCTTGTACATGTACGTGTAGTAAATAAAGATATTATTATTATTTTCTCAGTTGTTTGTTGGGTTATCTTATTCAAACTTGGGCAATGTATGATGGAAAGATACTTCTTCACGTACACCAAAAATGAAAGAAATCAGACCATAAATAGCGGAGTTCACTTCTCAGCCATTAGCGGCCGTTAAGCGGTACATTTTTGTATGGTTGTTATGATTATATTCTCATTTTTTCGGTCTCATTTGATAAATTGAAAAGATATATTACAGAAATAGATATGAATTTGATTGCTTTCATGACAAAAAGTACCTTGAAATTGCACTCACAGTAGCAAAAATGTTCTATTCTTTAGCGAAGCTCAAGAGTAAACAAATGACGTCACCGTCCAATACCTGTCCGCCTGCCAGTCCAGTACGCAGTCAAGAATGGGTTGACATTATTTATACAATTATTACAATAATGCAGTAGTCTGCATAACAGTAAATCTTCTATTTTTTTGCTAATAAAAATTCCAAATGGTAAGCAAGAGTAATATAAGAGGGGCCTGGAGCCATAGCTAATGAACAGAGAAAATGCTATTTTAGTGCCAGGAATGTCTGCATTGTTTATTCTGGACCCTATTTTGAAATTGGCATCTGTTGAAATTTGTGTGCAATCGGCCAAATTGCCAATTTCTGACCACTTTATTGGGTAGCTGAAATAAGTGAATGGGTGGTTTCTTGTACTCAGTTGACAGACTAGAAGTAAGTAAATAATTAAGTTTATTCAGGTATACACAAATACAGTTACATAGATTATCATACATAGCAGTGTATGTATAGAGAACCTAGGATAACCCAAAAAAGTCAGACAAAGTGACTTATTTCCAGTACCTGGCTTGGGCTTGCCATATATGATTTTTGGTAAATATTTTTTTTTCTCGGTTGTTTGTTGGGCTATCTCATTGAAACTTGGGCAATGTATGATGGAAAGATGCTTCTTAACGTACAACAAAAATAAAAAAGACGGACGATAAATAAGGGAGTTAACTTCTCGGCCATTAGCCGCCTCTTTGCAGTATATTTTTGTATGGTTTTTGTGGTTGTATTCTAATTTTTTTGGACTCGTTTGATAAAATGAAAGATATATTACAGAAATAAACATGATTTTGATTGCTTTCATGACGAAAAGTACCTTGAAATTGAGCTCAAAGTAGCGGAAATGTTTGATTTTTGCCGATGTTCAATGAACTGTGTAAGTCAAGTTGGTTAATTTTATTAAGTGTATTCTAACCTAACCACTCTGAAATCCGGCAAACTCAGTAATCCGGCACACTACAGGTCCCAGTGATGCCGGATTTGTGATGGAGGACCTGTACTATGTATCTACCTCAAACATAATTAGTTATTCGGTACTACTCTACATCCAGTGGCAAACTTTTTTTTCTTCCAAAATTTCCCCAATGTTCCTGTAACTTTCAATCTACAAACTCCAATCTACAAACTCCTCAATGTTCCTGTACTATTATTATATTTATGAGAAAGCATTAAATCCAAAAGGGTCATACAATGCTATATGTCAAGACAGCAGAGAACAGTGGAGATACTGCAGAGATGACACTGGCTGCAAGAAGAGAACAGCATTCAATGGTGATGTAGCAAAGTGGAGGCAGAGAATCCTCATTCAAGGCAAGATCATCAGAAAAAATATTGTATTAAAAGAGCAGTAGCAGTAGCATCACTAATGGCAAAGGCAGCATATACAGAAACTGAATTACTACTGGCACCACTGGCATGAAGCAAAGTTCACACCAAGTCACAAAGTTTGAGCCACAGCAAATTTTGACAAATAAGGGAATGTCCCTGCTTATACTTCTATAATACTGACATGCTACTATAGATGATGCAAGTGTAACTTAATCAGCCAAATTAAAAGCCACAGAGTCTGACCAGTTAGTGGATAGGTGACCACATGGACATGAACTTTCTCTGGCTAGAATGACCTTAACAAGCTAGAGACTACCTGTCCCCAACATTATACAGTGGAACTCCGAATTTCATACTTAATCCGTTCCAGAAGGTTGGTCTAAATCCAAAAGGTATGAAAACCAAAGTAATATTTCCCACAAGAAATAATGTAAATCAAATTAATCCGTTTCAGACACCCAAAAGTTTTTTTTTTATTATTATCACACTGGCCGATTCCCACCAAGGCAGGGTGGCCTGAAAAAGAAAAACTTTCACCATCATTCACTCCATCACTGTCTTGCCAGAAGGGTGCTTTACACTACAGTTTTTAAACTGCAACATTAACACCCCTCCTTCAGAGTGCAGGCACTGTACTTCCCATCTCCAGGACTCAAGTCCGGCCTGCCGGTTTCCCTGAACCCCTTCATAAATGTTACTTTGCTCACACTCCAACAGCACGTCAAGTATTAAAAACCATTTGTCTCCATTCACTCAAAAGCATTAACAAAAAATACATTTTATAGAGGATAACTAATGAAATGGATAAACGAGCATTTAAATCACTTTTACCTTTACTGAAGTCTTGTTGGTATATGGAAGACGTGAGGAGGGGAGAGGTACGAGAATTTATTGTTTGGAAACAGGACAAAATACTCGAATCTGATGCTAATATCAACTCTATGGCTTATTTATCTATCACAATTCATCTAATATGGCACAATAAACAACATTAATAACATAGAAACATGATTTATACCCTAGAATGAATACAATATGTCATTACATATGTGATTAGCTGTGGCTGCGGCAGTTGCCATTCTCTCTCCTGCTGTGACAACATATCTTCCTATTATTATAAGAGAAAATGGAGTGTTTGTGAGGCTAACTGCACTACATCACAGTTTCATAAGGAAAACAGTGAAACAATGTATGTGATTCATGAATAAGAAATATTATAAAAACATAATAGAGAATGTAAAGAAATAAAGTGGTTATTGTATGTATACTATAGTACACACTTACCTTGGAGAAGTTGGCAGAGGTTTAGGGTGGTGGAAGAGAGCGCAGGGCAGCATATGTTGTCAGTGGCCCTATAAACCTCCAACAATAATGGAGGAGTTAGTTTCATGTCGTCCTTATTCATTTGTTTAATTGCTTAACTTACTTGCTACACTCTTAATGCTACACTTTATCACTGGCTGGCGCTTTAGCCTTTACTGACTTCTGCTGCTTTAGTATCATACATATCGTAGAATCACTGAAGAATTCTATCATGTTTCTCGCCTTCTTTATCAAAAAGGCTGGCACTCTGAACTTTCTTTGGCCCCATGGTAGCTTATTTAGCAGTCGCAAGCACAAAAAACAATGGATTATTACAAAATTTTCCAGATGAATGCGTGGAGTAATATTTACTTAACAAGTAGCAAAGGCAGACTGAGTCACAAACATATGAGTGGGCGCGTCTGACACATGATTTCCGGGTGGAGGTATGAAATCTGGACCAAATTTTGCCCAAAAAAGTGGTCTAAATCCAAAACATACGATATTTGGTGCATACGAAATCTGAAGTTCCACTGTACTCTATATCTATACCAATACAATTACCAACATGCACACCTGTGCAAGCCTCATTATATAATTAATAAAATCCAATAAAACATTAAGGCATTTTCCCCATACAAACTTCCATTTTTTATGAAACCTTTAATAAGTAATTTTGCAAACAAAGAATTTAAAGATTAATGCCACCATTCACCTTGAAAGGGATTAATCGATTACATGCACTCCTTAAAAGGATGCATGAAGTCATCAGCATCCAGGACAGGGCTTTCATTTACCCCAGCAAAACAGAAGAGCCACATGAAACAAAAATGTCACCACTTTTGCACCAAGGAAAATAGCTATGGTTATCTCTTTTTAAGCCAAGTTCAAAAGTCCTCAATACCTTGCCTGCAAAATCGATATAATAATTACCCAATGTGCATAAATAAATTTATTTTTAAATACCACTTAAAATGGATTCCAAGGCAGTTAGCTCTGCTGGAGAGCATTTTTTGCTGTTATTCTCTCCAGAAACATTGCTTGCAGCAGCTTCAGAACCAGCTGCACCTTGTTGAGTACGTGTGGATGTGTTAGCATCCAAGGGTAATGTGATAGAAGATAGAACAACAGCACGATCAGGAAATGACACAGGATTCGGCAAGGCTTCACCTATTTTCCTCCAGTCCACCTGTAAACAAATAATGAAAATATTACAATGAATACTTAAAATGACTTTTAGACTGAAACTTTATTTTCTTTTTAACATGTCGGCCATCTCCCACCGAGGCAGGGTGACTCAAAAATAAACACTTTCACTATCATTCACATATAATCACTGTCTTTGCAGAGGTGCTCAAATACAACAGATTAGATGTCACTCCAAAATGAAAATGAAAATGTTTATTTCCTTGCAAAGCTTACAGTATGTGCTTTACATATTATAAAATATTAATTACAAAGAAGGCCACTAGCATGCCTAGGTATTTTGGGCAGACTAATCCTAATTCTTACTCTAATACTGACACAGGTTATGGAACAGTACATTTTAATATACATTATTGTATACTGATACAAAAGTTAGGTAACTGAAGTGATTAACAGTAATTAGATTGATAACAGTGAGGTAGTACAAAACATATAACAATATTACAATTTAGTTAATTTAGTAATGGGAATGGTTTTATCTCAGCATGATACACTGTTACTATAAAAGCTCCTATATTGGGAGAGTATTTCAGACAAACTTAGGACTAACTTAAGATTTATTAGGCAATAACTATATTAGGAATTTTATGTTTACAGTCATCTGAGTGAGTGTTAGTGTAAAAAAGGGGGAATTACAGATAACGAGAGTAAGTCTATTTTCTTTTGGATGTGTTCATGATACAAAAAAGAGAATAGGTGGTTTTCACATAATAAGCTTCTGAAGGAGTGTCTTATTTATTTATTTAGTAATTTTAGCATACATACAGAGGTACAAAAAAAATACAGGTAAGAGCAGCATGCCAAAGCCACTTATATGCATAGCATTACGGGCTGGCTTAAAATTAACTTAAGATTAACTAAGCAATGATGAAATCAGTGATAAAACATTATTGTAAACAGATAACTATAAAGCACAAATGAGTATTACAAAGACAGGTCATATGGTTGCATGCATTGCTGTACATTCAGTCGAATGGAGTATTCTGTTAGGTAGTGTATTTAAAAAAATAACAAAGTTAGATTGGGTCCTAGGTTTAACATTTGTGTGATATAATTGTGAGTAACATATAGGATATACAATTTATAAGGTTCAGTTATTCAGTATTTATTTGGTTTTGAGTGAGTAAGTGATCTTTGAGAAGAGACTTGAATTTATAAACAGGTAGTGTTTCTTTTATATTTACAGGTAATGAATTCCAGATTTTAGGGCCTTTTATGTGCATTGAGTTTTTGCATAGCGTGAGATGGACACGAGGAACATCAAAGAGTGATCTGTGCCTTGTGTTATGGTCATGTGTTCTGTTGAGGTTGGCAAGGAGATGTTTGAGGGGAGGGTTAATATCAGAGTTAAGTGTTCTATGTATGTAATAGGTGCAGTAATAAGTATGGATGTTTTGTATGGTGAGTAGGTTGAGTGTTTTGAATATTGATGGAGTGTGCTGCCTGTAGTGAGAATTTGTTATCATTCTAACTGCAGCCTTTTGTTGGGTAATTAGTGGTTTGAGATGGTTAATTGTTGTTGAGCCCCATGCACAAATTCCATAGGTGATATAGGGGTAAATAAGAGAGTGATAAAGGGCCAGGAGGGCTGACTGTGGAGCATAGTACCGTATCTTCGATAGTATGCCTACAGTCTTGGAAATTTTCTTAGAAATTTGTTGTATATGTGTATGAAATTTGAGTCTATTATCAAGGTGGATTCCTAAGAATTTTCCCTCTGTTAGCTTTGATAGGTGATCTGTTTATCGTTATGTTAAGAGGTACATCTGTATCTCTGTTACCAAACTGAATGAAGTAGGTTTTGTCAATGTTTAGTGTAAGTTTGTTAGTCCTCATCCAGGTAGATATTTTCTGTAATTCGGTGTTTACAGTATTGGCTAACGTGACTGGGCTCGGGTGAGGGAAGACGTATGTAGTGTCATCTGCAAAAAGTGTGGGTTTGAGTAATTGCGAAGCATTTGGTAGGTCATTTATGTATAGGAGAAAGAGAAGAGGGCCAAGGACACTTCCCTGTGGGACACCAACTGTAATTGGTTGAGCGGAAGAGCTTGCCCCATTTGCGTACACATATTGGCTTCTGTTGCTGAGGTATGACTTGAGGTAGTTGAGGGAGTGCCCTCTAATACCATAGTGTGACAATTTTACGTGGAGCAAGTCATGGTCAACTGTATCAAAAGCTTTACGTAAGTCAATGAAGATCCCCAGTGGGACTTCTTTTTTCTCTATTGCAGTGTATATATGTTCTAGCATGTGTATAATAGCATCATTAGTAGTTTTATTAGGCCTGAATCCAAATTGGCAGGGGTTGAGAATGTTTTGGGAGATGAGGTAAGAGTAGATTCGTTTATGAATTAATTTTTCCAAGATTTTTGAGAGAGGGTGTAAATTGGATATTGGCCTATAGTTATTCAACTCTGTTTGGTCTCCTCCTTTATGGATCGGGGTGACCCTTGCTATTTTGAGAGCTGTAGGGAAGGTGGAGGATTCAATGGATTTGTTAAAGAGTGTTGCAATGATTGGTGATTGTACTTGTGACACTTTTTTGTATATAAAGGGTGGTAAGGTATTTAAATCTCCTGCCTTGTTTTTTAGTGCGTTGATAATAAGGGAGACTTCGTATGGGTTAGTCGGAGCTAGGAACAGTGTGTTCGGGTAGTTGCCAGTGAGGTAGTCATTTGGTGGGGTATCTGAGCTTGGGATTTTATTGGCAAGGTTTTGTCCTATAGTGGAGAAGAAATCATTGAGTCTGTTTGCTGTTTACAGTGGAACCTTGACTTACGAGTTTAATCCGTTCCAGGAGCTAGCTCATAACTCAATTTACTTGTATAACAAATTAATTTTCCTCATTTACATTAACTGAAAAGCCATCAATTCATTCCTGCACTCTGGAGAGACGAGAAAAAATACTTGAATATGACACTACGTATTATCAACTGTACGGCTTATTTATCTATCACAATTCATCTAATATGACATAATAAACAATATAATTAGCACAGAAACATGATATATACTCTAGAGTGAATAAAATAGGCCATAATATGGTGGCAGAGGCAGAGGCAAAAGTGCCTGCCATTTCTGTCCCAATTTCACTCTAGTATCTTCCCATGTTCTTACTGTAAGAGAAAATGGAGTGTTTTTGAGGCTAACTGCAGTAGGTCACTAGGACTCATGGTTAGAAAAAAGAAATTTGGCCAAATTACTGTAAAAAAAATGTAAACAAGCACAAGAGAACTGCCCCCACAGGGATGTAAACATGTTTACTGCTGACCAGCTGTGCCAACTAGTAGAAGCAATCTGAATTATTATTATGCATTATTATTATTATTAATTTAGGGAACTGAAGCTCTATCATTACTATAATAATTATTATTATCATTAATTTAGGGAACTAAAGCTCTATTGTTATATTATTATTATTATTATTATTATTATTAACCCTTAAACTGCCCAAACGTAGATCTATGTTTTTTCAACATTTGAAAGTATGTAAAAAAATGTAGACCTTTTTTTTTTTTTTACATTTGAAAAGTGTAAAAAAAAAAATTTGATCTACATTTTTTGTTATACGTATTTGAAAATATGTAAAAAAACACAGAACTACTTTTGGAGCACTACGCATGTGAATGTAGATCTGTTTGGACAGTTTAACCTGTAAATGGTCCAAGCAGATCTACATTCACATGCTTAGTGCTCCAAAAGTAGATCTACGTTTTTTTTACATATTTTCAAATACAGTGGTCCCCCAATAATCGTCCAGCCTGAAAGTCGTCCATTTCGGAAATAGTCCTGTTATTTCGTCTAAACATTGGCTCGCAAATGGTCCGTTAACTCGCTAATCGTCCTTCATCCGGGACGGGTACTCACGCTCCGAGCCGCCTGGGCCTGCCTTCCTAGCCAGTGTGCCATTGTTTACCAGTGAGCGACGGTCCCCTTACATGCTCCTACGAAATATTTCATAATATTCCATTGATTTTAGTGCTTGCAAGTGCTAAATAAGCTACCATGGCTCCAAATAAAGCTTCTAGTGCCAGCCCTTTGGTAAAAATGTGAGAAACATATAATTTATCAACATATAATTTATCAACATATAATTTATCAACATACAATTTATCAACCACTATCACAACTGCTTCCACTCTACCACCACCACCTTTGTATTTTTACATAAGAACATAAGAAAGGAGGATCACTGCAGGAGGCCTGTTGGCCCATGCTCGGCAGGTCCTTTACAATTCATCCCACTAACGAAACATTTTCCCAACCCAATCCTCAATGCTACCCAAGAAATAAGCTATGATAACTCTATCCACTCATTTGCAAGTCCCACTCAAATCCAACCCCTCTCACTCATATATTTATCCAACCTAAATTTGAATAAATATATGAGTGAGAAGGGTTGGATTTGAGTGGGACTTGCAAATCAGTGGATAGAGTTTTTTTTTTTTTTTTTTTTTTTTCAACAAACCGGCCGTATCCCACCAAGGCAGGGTGGCCCAAAAAGAAAAACGAAAGTTTCTCTTTTTAAATTTAGTAATTTATACGGGAGAAGGGGTTACTAGCCCCTTGCTCCTGGCATTTTAGTCGCCTCTTACAACACGCATGGCTTACGGAGGAAGAATTCTGTTCCACTTCCCCATGGAGATAAGAGGAAATAAACAACAACAAGAACTAGAAAGAAAATAGAAGAAAACCCAGAGGGATGTGTATATATACATATATATGCTTGTACATGCATGTGTAGTGTGACCTAAGTGTAAGTAGAAGTAGCAAGACGTACCTGAAATCTTGCACGTTTATGAGACAGAAAAAAAGGACACCAGCAATCCTACCATCATGTAAAACAATTACAGGCTTTCGTTTTACACTCACTTGGCAGGACGGTAGTACCTCCCTGGGCGGTTGCTGTTTACCAACCTACTACCTAGAAGTGGATAGAGTTATCAGAGCTTATTTCTTGGGTAGCATTGAGGATTGGGTTGG